AGAGACCATGTCACAAATTCTTAGGGCAGAGAGATGTCCCTTGCTATGGGCTGTCACTCGCCACGTGACATAGGCAGCTGTGCAGCTAGAATACTGACAGCCAGTGTGTTGGCTGAAGGCCCAAAGTGTTGGATTCAGCGTGCAGGAGTAGGTGAAGCGTGCTGTTCGTGCACACAGGGGATCCCTCGCCCTTCCCAGGAGCAGGGGAGGCTGCAGCCACCGAGGAGTCATTCATGCCGACTGCTCTTGAGCCATAATATACATATTTACATAATATATATTTATGGAGGTCTTCACAGGTTTATAATGCTGATAAATACAGTTTCTTAAAAAATCAGTCTAAAAGGTGGGAGAATTCCTTATTACAAAGTTCTGTCTGAAATTAAGACAGACTCCTCTTTCTCGGGTCTGCACCTCATCTCGCTTCTGGGTTAAAAGCTTATTACACACTTTTTTCTTCTTCATGCTATTTGTATTTTTTCTGTCTTTTAAATTAATTTTACTCTGATAGCTTTTGTGGGGTAGCTTTTATGCAGAAGAGCCAAAAGCTTCCAGCTGATGTGTCACAGGGCAGGCCCACACATTGCCCTTCACTTGACATACATTCTTCATACACTGAGCTGTAACCATATCAAAGAGAGGGTGGCTTTGTTTCTTTTTATCTCAAGGCAGCTCTGCTAGTCCTTGAGCACAGCTAGGTATTTTTGTGACACAGCGAATCCTTCTTTCAGGTTATATTGTATTTGCACTGGTAAACCTTTCCACCTTCCTTTGCATGTATATCACAGCTAATGACCTCTTTATCAATACATGTGATAATCCTGAATTGCTGGAGGTCAAAATTGGAAAAATATGAAAAATAGCAACACAGGGCTAAAAAATGTTTTCTTGTAGGATTCATTGAGTCTTTTTTGTTATTCCCTTCAACATGTAGAATATCTACAGTATCTGTAAGAAACCTAAATTTTTTTTAGATGCACCTAGAGCCAAGACTTCCAAACTTCTAATTTGCAGAAGTCTGAAAATGTATTCTGTGTGTAGTGAATTGCTGATCAAAAGGTCCCATCCAGTCTGTATCTGTCACAATTAAGTCACATCTCAAAATAGCTATTTGTCAGTGAAAAGCGTTTCCAAAGATTAAGTGACGCAGACTGCACCTTTATCTGTGAGCTGGATTTTACATAAAAAGCTCTCAACCAAGTTGAATGAAGAGTTGGTGCTTGTAGTTAAGAAACAACTTTTATGTTTGAGCTCTTAATTATCTTTAATCATATGCAATGCAAGGTAAAACTAGCATTACTTATTATTTTAATGTACATTATTAGCTGATTAAGGTCCTTGAATGTTTTTAGTATCTGTTCATCCCAAGAGAACAACTAGAGAATAAACATTAGTTGGTAATGAGGTCCTGATTCATACATGCTCTGAAGAAAGAAGGCTGTAGTTATGTACCTGAAGGAAGGGCTGTCTCTACATTGAGCCATGGCAGCATCCATTTCCTCGATAGTCTCAGAGCTGCTGGGCTGGTAACTTCCTCCCACAATGAACCTCTTTACTTGTCTTAAGTAAAGTATTTGAGAGCCAGACAAAAAGTATTTGAGGGCTAGTCAGATACACAGATGCAGGTAAAACATTAGGTGTACAAATGCCCGTCTGTGGTTCACTTTCCTCATTGCTCTGGAATGGCCTTTGAGCTTGAGATTGAGACCCTTAAGATTTAGAGAATCTTCTTGCTACAGGCTTTGCTATCTGCTGCTCATCTTTACTACTGTCCCTCTAAAATCACAAGCCAAACATACAACTCTTTGTAAAACTCTGCAGTTGTAGCCTATTGTATCAGCTCAAGAAATCTCAGCCTCTAGCTAACTGGACAGACTGGTTTTTGCAACTTATTCAACTTCTTGGGTCAAAGGGGATTCCACTTGAACTGGAGACCATCCATGCTTGATGACTTCCTACACTTACCCTTATACACTGCACTGGTTATCTGCTTACTTTCATAAGCTTGATGTTGTCCAAAAACAACAAAACAAGTATTTTAGCAATTCCTGCAGGAGCTATGTAACTTTAAAAACTGAAAAAAAAAATCACACAAATACATATTAGATGCTCCCTAATTTATCACAATTTGTAATTAGAAAATGAAGTTGCTCCAGAAAAGGAAGGAGAAATAAAAGAAGCAGAGATTTGTAGGAAATCTGATTATGCAAAAATATTAATATTTTGATTTCAGCCCATCTCCATGGAAAAAAGAACAGATCACACCAGTAGTGGCCCATGTTAATATCTCTAATTTAAATGCACCTTTTTGCTAAAATGGAAATATGTACTAAAATGCTCTTTTAAATTATAGCCTTACTAGGAGCACATGGAACACCCATGATAGTCTAATCAATTCACTTAAATATGATCAAATGAAAAGCAAACTGCACGGGTACTTGTCATTCTGAATTTTGGGGTGGGTTTTATTTGTGTGTTTGTGGAATTTTTTTTTTTAGAGACCAAAAAGTAAAATCGGCCATGAAAAATTAAACATATTTTTCAAAATAAAGACATCATTTTGCTATTGTAAAGATAAATTCATGTCAGAGACCAGCAATAAGAAATATTCTAACTGTAGATTTAGATCTGAATATTTTTTGTTTTAATCCTATCTCTAACAATAAATATGGAAGAAATAACTGATGTTAAATGCTTTTCTAATTAAAGGCCACAAGCCTTTTGAAAAGGATGTAAACACTTGTAGACAGCCATTCTCCCCAAACTAGAACAAAACCATTTAAATCTCCTCTCAATCTTTTTATCCTTGTTAGTTTTCATTTATAGACGTTGCCAGGTGCCAGCTGGGGCACAAGACAGTAACTGCAGAAGATGGCTATTTGTGATGTTTCAAGCATAACCAGAAGCTGAATCTATTAGGGAAAAAAAAAAGTCAAACCCCACAGAAAAGCAGTTCTTCTGAGATCTTCTCAGATGTGCAGATTTAATGTATCTGCTTAAGTTTACATAATAATCCAAGCTGTTCTTACAGATGTAGCACATTGTTGCAAGAAATCTCAAAACATTTTGCTGTGCATCTGTTTCTCACACCTATAAGTAATTTATTTTTTTTCTATCGGCAGGTAACACTATATCCTTTTGCTGTAAATTAATACTATGGGTTTTGAGCAAAAGTTAAAGATATGCTTGTGTATCAGTTATTCTCATTTTTTTTTTTTCTGAGTTGAGACCCTAAAAAAAAGAGGTTGAATTGTTTTTTAAGTAAAACTGGGCAAAGATTTAGGCTCTAGGAATAGTACTCTTTAAGTATCAGACCCATGATGTAGCCTCTCAGAGCAGGGTATTCCATGTTGTTCTATCACAGGGCTGCTTAAAGTGCTTAAAATACCCTTCAATTCCAGCTGACAGAATGAAAGGATCAGATTTTTTTCTGTTCTGTTAATAAACATTATCAAGACAAAAATTAACCTTCATTATTTGGGGATTCAGAAAACATACAAGTACTCACTTATTTAACTGTTCTTTTTAAGCAAGTCTCATAAAGTGGGATTAATTCTAACGAAATACCACTACTGCTCTAAAATAAGTAGCACAGGTAGTAAAGTCCCTTTTAGCATAAACCGAATACTCAGCTGCTACCTGATGCCTTAAGTGTCTACTTGTCTGCTCAACCTGAACCATGGACTGCTGATGGATAATCACATAATGTTAGTGCAGTTATTTCCTGATTTTTGTTTAGCTAATTATCATCTAATTCAAATTTTCTTTGAAAAAGTGATTTTAATCTTTTAGAGACAGTTGTAATTGCTAATGATGAAGCTGGGAGATAGTTTCTTTTTAGAGAAGTTCTGTGTCTTACTCAACCTGGATAATAAGGTTTCAAGTTTAAAGAAAGCCTTAAAAAAAAAAAAAAAAAAAGGAAAGATTATTTTGAGGTTTGTAATTCTTTGCTAAGCAACACTTCTAAGATTCTTTTGGTAGCCTGATCATGCATCAGAGATGAGGTAGGCAAGACTAAAACATGGAATGATATAGCCAACTTACAATGAAGAATGGAAGACAAATTTTTTTTTTAAATGCCCTGTCTGAAAGAAATCATTACTTTCCTTTATTGGCTGTGATAAAGTCTTCAGCTCAGGTCTAATAGAAGATATTAGTTTAGATCAATAGGAAGAACACACACTGTGTGAAGAAACTAAATATATGCATTCCATAGATGTTTCTAGTTTAACCATACTTCCAACAGGTTTCATTCTAAAATAAGTCTTTTGCAGAAAGTTGTATCCATGTTCCTGACATTGACTTGATTTTAGTGGTGTGGGTTTTTTAACTGAGAAGGGAGATGGGATTCTAAATGATACTTGTTAAGTGAAAAATGTCATACTCGACTTAAATTGCATTGATTACAACTAAAAATGCAACAGGGTCAATGCAGCTGATGAATAAAACCAATCTGTGATTCTAGATACAAGTCCATGTAACAAGGGTTTTAAGGTCACGGGCTGTTACAGCTCAGATGGCCTGGGCCTAGGACTGGGTCCTTTTCCCCCTGCTGGTATAACTGCAAACACTATGGGAATGAGCTAAAATCTCCACTGATAAAATGACTTATGTAAGGTCAGAAATCAGAGGGTATTCCCTTTATAGCTATGGAGTGCTGTAAAGTCAGTTCTGAACAAAATGTTAACACTGAAATACTCTGAACAATTAATTTAGGCAATTATGTTCTTTCCTGATGCACTTGCTCTTAAATTGTTTAAACGGCACTTAATTGTATTATGGAATAAGGATGACACATCATGCCAAAGAGATCTGTTATAAAGGGAGGAAAACTTCACACACAAATGACTTAGCAACTAAACTACTTATTGAATATATATTAAGTATTGTTGATGTGTGAAATATAACTGGAAATGCATTTCCTGTTTTTTTATTAATTTATATAAATGACCATTCAACCATATGGTAATTTTAATGCTGGCTTTTTCAATATCTTACAGGAAGCTTCAAAAAATGGTGCATGACATGAAGAAAAATGAAAGTGGGATAATAAACAAGTTCAAAAAGTAAGTTTGAAATGCCAGTCCTAGTTTTATCAATTTGGAGAAGTTCAGATTGCTAGCATAGTGTATAGTACTTTAGTGATGGGACCATGTTATTCTGGAGGGATGTACTTCAGCATATGTAAAGAGCCTCAGTCCAGAGTGTGGCATACACAATTATGAGTATTAAGAGTATCACAAAGTAGTTGCAGAACTGGCCTCCAATGGAGGTTGTATTTCCAGCCATGAAAACCAGTATTTGTATAAACTGCGTTTTCCTTACAAATTCTTTGGGAATGATCATCACCTGTTGTTTGGGGGTGTGCCTTTCTCCTCAGGTCACTGGTTAGGCTACCTGCTGCAACTGAGTTTTAATTTGAGCTCTACCTTGAACCAGCTAGTCAGACATCATAGTTAGAATTTCCATAAAAATGCTAAATCCCTCTGTGTTTCAGTCCCATAAAAGAAAACCCAGCATTACCTAACACCCTCAAGTCCAGTTAGAAGTGCTGAACAGCATGTATATTGAGGTCACATGCATATGACTATCATAAAATATTCATGTGTATTTGTACATAGAAATTCTAGTAATTCTGTATCCTTCCACATAAATACACTATTCACTGTTTCCAGTCAAACATCTATTTAAACCAATTAGCTATTAAGCACACTTTTTATTTTTCTTAAGGCAATAACTCATTTGCACTGAACTTCCATTTGGATGCGTTTTTCTCATTCAGCTTTCTTTCTTTACATGGGTCATTGACAACAAAAGTACTAAGTACTTTTGAAAGTCAATTAGTACACAGTATCAGTGGTTTTTCCAGGACAACTGTATTAAATTCTAGAAATGCAGCTCTTGTACATAAAAGGCACATGCAAACATTGTTTAAAATTGTTATTAAAGAGTCACCATGATGGCTCAGTTCAAGGAAACCAACAAGTGTGGTGTTAACAAGAGCTGATTCTAGGCATGTAAGAAGTTATCAGGCTGGTGGGAGAAGCAGAAGGGCTCTGCCTGGCTTGGCTATGCAAGAGCTCCAGAAAACCAGGCAGGCTCAGCTATTGGCCCTGCTACCAGCCCAGGTCAGGCTGCTGTTTGTGGGGCAGCTGCTATTGCTGGCAGAGGATGGGGATACACTTTCAGAAGCTGCAGCAACCACCTGACTGTCCCATTCCCCAGGTAGGAGCAGTAACCTTAGGCTGCAAGCCCTCCTTTGTGGCCTCTTTATCACAGCTGTGTTTCTGTCCACAAACCTTTAGCAGGGTCTCTCAGTAACACCTGAGGCATCAGATAGATTCTTGAGATCACTTTTCTCATTCTTTCACTCTAGCATTGCTACAGTTTGCAGTAAATCACAGTCACATATGTACTTGTTATTTCCATATAAGCAAGAAGCAAAATTTCCCTTACGATTACCCTCTTTAAACTACATAGATAATTAATTTGAGTTTATTTTTGTTTTTAACACAGTGAATATGTAAATAGAGCACTGTATTCAGAGATCCATTTGCTAAAAAAGCTCAGTTTCACCTGGGACCTGCTCACAGGGAAGAGCTTTTAGGCTATCAAGGCATTTGGTGGGTTTCTGGAGGGGAAGACCAGTCAGGGGGGTTATTTCTTCTATGTTGTTACTTTTTAATAAAAGACGGCTTCCTACTCCAGAGTAGTAGTTTGAGTGTGGTTAATGTTAATAATGTTGCAGTGGGTCCAGTTCAAATGCCTCAGAAAGGAAAACAGATGGCAGAAACAATAAGAGCATCTCAAGTTTATAATTCGAGGCAACAAATTGTCTCCCATAGTCGCCTGGACATGAATTCTGCTGTTAATCAGTATTGCTCTGACTGTGTGTCCTTCCCTGAGAATAAAAGGAGAATGACAGACAAGGGAAAAATAACAAGAACTAAATGTAGTTGAAGCTGGGAAGGTCAGAGGTGACATCATTAAATGTCGGATTTGAGATTGCTACTGTAACACTGCAGTTCTTTGATTCTCTCAAGATTTAAAAAAAAAAAAATCTACAAAAAAAGAGCATGCTCATAAAGACTCTCTTTACGTGAGCTTTGTTCTGCAGTCATACATTTCACCTCCTTCAGCTGTGATAATACAAATTTAGATGGAAAAAAATAAATAGAATAATCTTTCTGGTACTACTGTGGTTCATCTGAGCCTCTTCTGCAATTATGAAGATCAGAAACTTGTATTTTTAAATTGAAGAAAAAGTCTCACATTTGCACATGACTTCAAAATTTAAACCTTGAACCCAGCACATAATAAGACTTGCAATAAAAGTATGAGTTGACAGTAATGATAAGACAAGCTCTGCAGAATTAGAACTGGCTTTATTCTTCTGAGTGTGCCCTTTGGGGGCTTTTTGTTTGATTTTTAGACTTTTTTCTAAAAAAATATAGTTGTCCAGTTGATAAATTCCTACATTTCAGTTACAAGATTATTTTATTAAATGTCAAGGATGTGAACATGACTAAAGCAGGGAAAAATATAAAAAAAAAACTTGCTTTATGTAGCACAGATTTGGATTTTGTCTGTATGCTGGGGAAAAAAAGAAAAAATCACATTTTTTGACTCAAATCCAAACATATTATAAATAGAAATAATTTCAGAAAAGTCAGTGTACTTGCTTATCCCAGGCCTAAAGTTGTCATACACATATACTGTAAGCCGCTGCTACTGATATTGAAAGAATGATAAAATACTTATGAAATACATTTGACTTACTACCAGTATTTGGTAGAACTCTTGTAAAATCTGGATTTGTTCTTGGTTATGCCAATGAGTAGCAGAAATTCTTGGATCAAGTGTCTTGCTCTCCAATCTAGTTCATCTGTGGGGTGGAGGTGAGGGCTATATCTATCATCCATCTGTGTCTTAAACATCTGTGGAAAGCAGTCTAAATGGTGGTTAACAGGAAAGAAGACTACAGATTGTTTCTTTATTGCTTAAAAGTTCCTGTTGTTTATTCCCAGTCTTGACTCAAAATTTTTTGATAGTAACAATATTGCCCGCTGCAGGTTAGCATTCAACTGCTTGCAAACCTATTTACAATATTGGAGTCCCAGCTGCTGTGCAGATCATGAGGTAAAAGAGGATTATGTACTTAGGTATCAAAGCAATAGGTATTGCCAAAGTTGGATAAACAGTGAGAGCTGGGGGTATTTTTTAGTATTTACATCCTTGGTAATACAGAACAGGGAAGCAGGAGAGAAACCATAGTTTTCACTCTGCACGATGGTTGCTTACTCTTGAAACACACTGGAAAGACATGGCACTTGTGTGGAAATCATAAGCATTAAATCTCTAGACCTTGTTCAGTGTAATCCTAGCCCCACTGAAGCCAGTGCTGAAGTCATACTGCACATACAGCAAAGTCAGGATTTGAACCATCAGGTTTCCCTATATGCTGACCTTATATACAGAGTTGAATAAGAAACTAAAAGTTCAGGTTACTCACCATGTTGCAACATCACGTCCTATCAAAACTTACCTTGCAAAGCCATCAGAAATCATGTCCTTGTAGTTATTCATTTAACTCACATAATCCAAATATTTCCATTTCTTGAAATCACATTTGCCACATGACCTGAAACAGAAGGAAGATACATTCTTATCTCAGCTGCTTTACCCAGCTTTTTAGTTGTTTTTACTCCAGATTTACCTGGTCCATTTATCTATACAATATTTATAACTTAGGCAGTAACTTCAGGGAGAAAAAGAAGTTGTATCAATTAATGTATTCTCAGTCTGCTGTGCTGCAACTACAAGATGTCTGTGATCAAACCCTTGGCAGAGGAAAAAGTGGTATTTCATGGACCAGATAATGAAAGAAAAGTACTAAAATCCAGCTGTACCACACTTAGAAAAAGAAAACAGGGGAAACTATAATATGTAATTTTAACTGCATTCTGAAGAAATATGGTTTTCAATGTGTAGCTGAATAGAATATTTTGCGTGCCAGGGTTTTAATTAATATAACAATATTTCATCAAAGTGAAGATAAATAAACTGCAGCTATATGTCATTTCACTGCCACAACATGCTGTAAAGAAAATGTGTGAAAGAGTAATAATAACACTAAAAAAAAAAAAAAGTTTGTTGAATTTTATGTTATATAATTGCCAGATACTTCCAAAGCTATAACAAAATATTTGACTACGTCATAAGAATATAGTTCAGCAAAAGTTTATCTGTGAGCTGGATTGCACCTGTTTGAAACTCTGAGAACATTTTTGGCAAAGTTAATTTATTTATCTTTTATAAATAAATCACTGATGATCTAGTGTACTCAGGACTGACACATACTAGATAACTCAATTCAGTAAAAATGTCCATACAATTTTTTTTAGAACTATTAAGTTAAAATGGTTCCTAAGAAGGGAGTGGACTTTGTGTAGAGTTAATAACAGAAAAAGTGAAGGACTCTTGAAAACAAAGAGTTTTTAGGCACATCATAAATGCTGGGGGAGTGAACAGAAACACTAGTGAGGAAATGCACCTGTGGGAGAATTAAGAGCTAGACTTAAACAGCTACTGCTACATACATTTGGTTAATTTTCTGGGTGTAGCCTGTAAAAACAAGTGTGGCTAAAGCAAAAAAACCCATACCTCTGCTGCAGGTTATTTAAAAAATGCTCCATTTAGTGCAGGAAAACTCAAAAATGTGCTATGAATTCAAAGCACATGATTAATATTTGAAATTCCTGCAGGACTGCTTATGTGAAAGAAGTTAGGGACATGCCTAAATGTTTTGTTGGATCAACCTCAGCATGCTATAGAGGGGAAATCTCAGAATACATTTTTAAAATTAAATACTTTATTGTCCTAAAAGTTACTATGAATTTCTGTACAGGGCATTGTGTTCATCTGTGAGCAGCATCTAGACCCCATTATGCGAAATATCTCAAATGCTACCCAGTTATTTGTTGAAGCTAAAATGTATATAGTAAGATGTGTTATGTTGTTTTTGAAACCTGTAAACATACTCTCAAAAATGCACTTGAATTTTATTGAGTCCTTCAGAACTGAAATTTCTTAGAGGTATTTAAAGTCTCCAGGAAATTACTCATTGTGTATTAAAATTTAGAAAAATACTAGTCCCATTGAAGTAAATGGGAACTTGAATTATTTGTGTTCTATCATGGCTAACACAGAGATACTTCACCACCTGTAATTTAAGTCCAGACTGGAGCAGCACTACAATATTGTACTTGGAAATGGCATTTGTTATAATTTTACATAACTCTGTTAAAAGAGATGTTAAGAAATCATTCTGTGTTCCATTTAAATACATACACTCAGCTGGATAGCATTTGATTAACTTCAGGGGAACAGGATGGAGTCAATTGTCACTCTGCAAGCATCCATGGGGATAATTATGTCAGAATCTGAAATAGCTAGGTAACCACTCCTTGGCATAGGGGTTATGTCTGTTGAGCTTGCACTATAGTTTACATATTGAATAAAGTTCTGGCTCTTGCAAAGCAATGCTCCCTCTGAGTTCAAAAGAGCCTGGATTCAGTTCTGCTGCTCAGTAAATCATAGCAGTACAGTGAGAATTTTTTTTTAAGTGGATTTGCATTTTAGAATAAATAACATATTGGAAGAGATTCTAGAAAATATAGATGTGGCCGTGAACATTTTTAGCTCTGTGACAGAAACTTTTTTTTTTTTTTTCTTCTATTGATATTCAGGTTCCAAAATGAACAAGTGGCCTTAATTTGCAAAACTGGGAAAGATACTTGGGATCGGTATGCTATTTCAGAGCTGCACAATGGCATGATAGGCTGCTTAGGCACAGACCTCTGTTCTGTGCTTTATATGCTTTCGTTATAACATATTTACATTTTCTGATGGGGCCACTGCCAGGACTTACAGGGCCTGGGACAAAGTTGAAGTCTTCTGCTTAGCAGCTTGGAAATTTGTGATGTGGCTTATGCCACATACTTTGTGACCCAGACAGCCTCTTACAATTGCCTTGGTTCCACTATTTTCTAAGTCTCCACCATTTCTGAACAACTCATGATAGACATGTTGCAAAGTACATTAATGGATTTTGGTCTGCCCTCCCTACTAACTGAGATCTGACCTGGCAGTGGCCCTGGGTTTTTCTTTCTAACATTCCTGTGCTAACCCGGACAGAAAACAACAGCAGGGCTGTTGAGAATGCTGTTTAATTTACTGTTTGTACATTAAGTTGTATTATGCCACAGTAAGCTAAAGCCATGGAGGAGGCGGCTATACATCATTAATATTGTTATTAATGAACAAAGAATGTAAACACTTCAAAAACCATGTGCCTAGATTGGTTTTGGCTTGGTTTCTTGGGGTTTGGGGATTTTTGCTGGTTGTTTTGGTTTTGTTTTTGGTGGTTTTTTTGAGCTTTAGCAATGCCTGCCTCCACCATTTATTCATTGTCATGCCCGTGCTTTTTCTTTTTTTTTTTTTTTTTTTTTTGACTATCTGAACAACAGAATTCCATGAATTCAACTCAGAAGTAGCTAAAGTATTTCTCAAAACAGATGGGAAAAATTTGTAAATTGATGTGTTAGTGCCAGCATGCCACTACCCTGAGTTACACTGATACTGCACAATGACACTAAGCAGCATGCTCAGGACCTAAATACTGAGTGTCAAATTCTTATGGTAAAGCAGAACGTGTAGACTTTATAATTGCTCAGATATCAACTTCAATCAAGAAAACATTTTAAATTCTTTGTGGAGGATTTTTTTTGTAAATAATACGCACCAATTTCTTAGGTCATAGTCTTAGCAAAGCCTCTGTGCGTCTGAACATATTTTCATCTTCAACTAGATGTCCATTTATCTCTGACCCCAATGATATCTGTTTCTGCATTGGAAATGAAGAGGAGGGTGGGTAGGCAAGGAAGCTATTGTTTCAAAATCCTTAGAAAAAAAAATCCTCAAATTGGATTCTAATATCTTATCTGTTTCTAGCTTCTCAAAGCATTCTCCTGCAGCTGTTTGCTAAGCAACTGTGATGGTAATCTGTATTTCTTCAGCTGCAGGTACCTTTTGTTATCAGCTTTTTTTTTTTTTGTGTCTGGCTAATGCTCCCTTCTAGTGAATACTACTTATTAAATCATAAATATAAAAATTATTGTTTACAGGCTAAAAAAAAAACCTCCACCAAGTCTACCACAAAGGGATTATGCTTCAGGTGAGGCTGCATTAATATAAATTTAAATTGAATGTCTGTCTGTATTTGATATCTTTACACCTAGCAATATTCCAGCTATACATTTCCTCATTATTTGTTTTTAATGAAAGAACAATATACCATTATCAGCAGCCCTGAAGGCAGTTCACAATTCTGAAATGAGAGGCAAGCAAAACACAGCAAGTTGTCTCAGTATGAAGAAAGACTAGCAAGTAGCTACCACTATTTACCAGGAGTCTGCATGTAGGCTGCTCTAAAAATGGAGAATTCACATCCAGTCCCCCTCAGACAGAAATTGTGATGTGCAAGTAAATAGTAAATCACAGATTCAGAATCTTTATACTATTTGTCTGACAATTATGATGTCATGAATATAGAACTATAGAACTCTATTTGCTTATCATACAGCACTGACCACAAACCAGTTCATGCTCATTTTTCACAAGTTAGCAGCTATCTTATTAAGGAAATTATATGAAAACTGAAGCAAAGAGGACAGACTTTGGACAGTATAAGATAATTGTTTCATGTTTAACATCAACACTTGTAATTAGTGAGCTGCAAAGCCCAGAGGCCAGCAATAGTTCTGGTATGTATAAATTGTTACTCCTACTTAAAAATGAGATGCATTAGCAGGACACACTGGGTAAAGTGCACACTTTGCTTTTCAGACCCTGTGCAGCTTGCCATTTTCAAATGCTTTTCCAGCAACTCTGAGACAATATATCAAAAACGAGCAAGCAGACATGTAATTTACTATTCAGTCTAAACTAGATGTGTGGCTCTGGACTGTTTAGGAAATGTTGACCACTTTTTTAATTAGCTAGAAGTACAGACTGAAAAAAAAAAAAGTAAGATAAATTTTTATGTTCACTATTCCATCACCTTAAATAACTCTAATGTTTGGTTTAGCACATGCAGACAATGAAGAGGAACAATGGTCAGATGATTTTGTAAGTATATATTTCGGGGTAGTAGGAAGTTACTGTAGCAACCAGTTAGCACAAATAATAATAATAATAACAGTTTATTTTTGAATCATCTACTTGTGGCTGAACTTCATACTACTGGAATGTTACCTTATTTGTTTCATCATCATTTTTTTTTTTTAAGTAGTCACTGATTTTTAGCTACCTCAACTTTTTTACATTCAACTTAGAAGTACACTCAGAAGCACTGTCAGTGGTAGACACAGACACTAAGCTTTTTGGCATCAGTTTGATAGACTTCTTATTGGTTTCTGAAATTATTGTTCAGTTTGAGATCTTCTGTTTGGGGGGAAGAGAGGGTTGGAGGTGTGAGGAGGGGAAAATTTCATTTCTTCCTGAAAATGGAAAATTTCTGATAAAATTTTAGAGAACATTAGAATGAAGCAAGTTATGGTTGTCAGCCACATGAAATAATGATATAACCATCAGCCTGAAGTGACTAGTTTCCTTCTACACTCAGATACCGAGTACCCTTGTAATAGGAAAGGGGGGGGAATTGACAGGATGCATCAAGAGTCACAGGTGGAGCTGGGAAGGAACTGCCCTGTGAAGGGAAAGAAGCTGTTGGTCCATTATTTGAAGACTGAGCCCTTGGTGTGAAAGGACTCCTTGGAGTTAGCAAGGAGAAAGAGAGCAGGAAGCTCCTGGGAGGAGTAGAAGGGGAGGCAGGCAAGAGTGCCTATTTGTTTAGGGAGGGAGCAGTAAAAGGCAGTGTAATGTGTCCCTTCATGGGTACGTTCTCATAATTTAATTAGTTGTACTCCTGCCAGGAATAGTTGTCATACACTGTTACGAATCCATGTGTATGTCATGAGATGAAAAATGGGAAGTTCTGTCTTTCTAGGACAGTGATTATGAAAATCCAGATGACCACTCTGACTCTGAGATGTATGTGGTCCCCAGTGAAGAGAATCCTGATGACAGCTATGAGCCTCCTCCAAGCGAGCAAGAGAAAAAGAAGATTCCCTCCGCATTCCCTATTTCTAGGGGTGAATATGCAGGTAGTTATGGAGTAGCTGACTATGTCAGCTCGAAAATTTGTACCCTAAGAGAATTGGCCTCAAATGGATGAACCTGCCCTTTCCTCCTTTTTTTAAATTCTGGCATTTAGGTCTTCAGCTTTCAGGGGTATGATTTGTTATTACAGCATGAAACAGGTTAGTATTGCTAGTAGTGATGTTTACAATTTTAATATAATGTGTCCTAGAAATTTTGATAAACATCTACTAACTACAAAATTCAAGCAAAGGTATGGGAGATATCATTAACTTGTCTCCACATTTATCTGCATATTTTAATGCAGGAATTTGTATTGAAGATTAAGCACATCAGCCTAGACGGGTGTCTTCTTATCTTTTTTGTATCTCATCATTATTCCAAAAGCAGTAAAACAGAGGACAAAGGAGCCCAGATAGTCACTCCACATTGTCCTTCATGATTGGTACTGAGGAGGTTAAATACCCTGAAAGACAGGACAGGATCAAGATTTTAGTTACATCAGTACAGCATAAAGGCATGGTTTTTTCATATTTTGATTCTTTTCAACCATGGGCAGAACACACTGAAGTGAAAGAAAGTTAGCTTCAGTTAGACAAAGATTTGAGCCACAGAGAGGAAAAAAAAAAAAAATGTCATGGTGCCTGCTTTCATTTTGGTGTGATACAAGACTAGTACTGGATAGAGAATAATCATCTAAGTGCTAAAATGTCACATATGTGCTCATAAGTTTATCAGCACTTCACCTATGTATTCTTTGAAAAGGGGAGGAATTTTAAAAATGGCACCCCAGAGGACCTGGTATAATTTGTGTTTCAGTCCCACCCTTTGTGCTGTGTAGCTGTTGTTTTTCTCTTGTGTCAAATGTTCTTTCTCACTTCCTATCACTACCAAAGTTCATACTGACACAGGACATACTAACTAATAGATTACATCACCCAGCCACCACCTTTTCCCCAAGGAGTTAAGCTGTTCATACAACAGTCAGTGTCTTAAGTACCCTCTGCAGTCAGATACAGAGGACTAGGTTGCTACCTTGAGCAATTAAACAGGACTAGTTTGCGCACAAGTCTCAAAATCGGAACCAGCATACAGTCAGGTCTACCTTTTGGCTTGAGCTGCAGCCATAGTAAAGACTTGTTCACATAAGTAGTAGAAGATGGTTCAGAGACTAATGCGTAATTTTTACTAAAATTGTTGTTTTCTTCCATATTATAAGACAATCGTACTGGTCACCAGCAGCTTCCTCCCATCAACAAACCTCTCCCACGTACGCCCAGTCCAGCCTCCTCCAGACCAAAGAAACCATCTGTGCCATTCCTGCCATTGCCATCTCCTGCTGCAAAACCAAAAGTAGCACCAAAGCCTAAGGCGTGTAGTGATGATGAGGTATTGTTTACAGATAACACTTGTTTTGACAGTTTAAATGACTGATGACCCCTACACCAATTGTAAGATGGACTATACAAGAGTGCCATGGCCTGGTCTCTTCCTTAGCCTCTATGGTACAAATCGGTTTGTGTATCACAAGCTGTACCTGCAAGTACCATGCTGATTCCTGAGGGCTAACTGCCTAGTTCAAGTGTCAAAGAGGCTCTTTAGAACACAAAATAGTTTCTGCTCATCCATAAAAGGGTGCAAGCGATGGGGAGAGGGTAACCTCATAGGCTACCCCAGGACCAAAGGGAAGGGAGGACTTTTATCCACTAGTCTAGAACTAGAGTAATTTGGTAAAACATTTTCAGCCCTGGGGAATCTCATCCGCATAGGATGATAAATGTTTGAAATAGCAGATGCTGTGAAATGGCACCTATTGTAAACCACTGCCAGGGCTTCAGTCCCAGCAGTTTGTTGATATGATGGAGGTTTAACTGATAGATTTTTGTTCTGCATTTCCCATAGGATAATTACATTGTGCCAGTGGACAATGACGATAACTATATCGAACCGACTGAGAGCAGCACATCACTACCTACAAGATGTGAGTGTTGGTCATTTAAGCTAATAATTATTGGCTTGTAAAGGAACAACAGTAGGAAAAAGACGGATCAAATTAGCATCTCTTTGTAGGGTTCAAAGAGTGGAGGTGCAGCTATTAAAGAGAATGCAGCCTACAAAAAGGCAGTCGTCTCCTTTGGCCCGTGACAAGGGCAAGGGAAATTATTTTTAATTTACTGAAAGCCATGTTTAATTCCTGCCTCTCCCCCTCAGCTGTTTCAAAGTCCAGCCCTTGTACAACTACGAAGCATTTCTTGGTATGTGATCTCCCTCCTCATCCAAGGGAGCCACAGCATTAAAATTCTCTGTTTGCTGAAGTGCTTCAGGAGAAGAACAAGCCTTTTTAGATTCTCAGTAGATAAAGACAGGCTTTGATTGATTTTTTTTTTTCTTTTACCTCAGTATTTGAAGTATATTTATCTGGAGAGTGAAACTACTACAGTCCAAAGGTGAAAAGTAAACAGAGAAGAAGAGTATGTCATTCTGCTCTCTGACATTACTGACAGTATCAAACCTATTGAGCAAGGCATGAACACTGAATAATGTTTCCCTTTTAAAATGTGAGCTGCTTTCTGTCTCAGTTGATTTGTTCAAGGTCACTCAAAAATGCTACTACTTGGACCTACTTAGTATTTATTCTTATAGTATAAATATTACATTGTTAGTTTTTTGAGAAGTATATATATAAGCATATGTACATATATATACACACACATGCACGAGTATATGTTTATATGAATAAAATGTTTTTAGCTCCTGTGAACAGATTTATGAAGACAGCAAAGTCACCCCTCCCTACTTCTCCAAAGCCTTCACTTACTTCTGATACACAAGGTATGTGGAGTCTGTATTGCTGTTAAAATACAATCATCTAAGACTGAGGAATATGAAATTAAATTTTATGTATTCACAACACAAACCATATGACATATTTCAGTAAAGCTAACATACATTCCCCTTTGGGTTTGTCTGTGTTGTAGCAATTGTTTTGCCTAGCTTGAATAGTAAATCTGCTTTAAGCGTGAATAAAGCTAGAACTGATCATTTGCCCTGAACTAATTTCTTTTTAGTCTTTTGATCTAGCAGAGGAACACAAATGGATCAATACAGCAAAAACAATTGCAGGACTCAGTATGTTAGTAATCCCATTTCTCTGTAGGAATTAAGACTCAATACTTTAAAACCACATTAAGATTCAACCTTAAAGAAATTCTACATAGGGTGATGTTTTGCATGTCCTGTGGTAAGTGTTCCCATTTAAGTTCTATAAGAAGCAATTTATTTGGGAAAAGAAACAAAGCAGCAGCAAATAAGAGGAATCATATTTGCTTTTGTAAGTGCAGATATACTTGCTTAATCTTCCTTAGCTGTGCTAACTCTGCATTGTTTTTCATCCTCATCTCATTAATTGCTTGGAATGTAACCTTTACAGACTTTAAAAGTCTTTGCATATTCATTAGTGATATATTTAGCTTTCAAGTCCTAAACAACAGGTTTTTTTCTGAATGACTTAAGATTTTTTTAGTTACTTTTCAGACAATTTAAAAGCCCTTTTCAGTGTTAGACTTTCAGTAAATCAGTGTTGAGCAACAGCCAGCTCCTGATAAATATTACTGGAAAAAAAAAAAAACATCTCCCTCTGGTGGGAACTCAGATACTTTTCAACACCATTGAAATGATTAAGCCTGACATGAAATTTGTTGAAATTTGATTCAATTTCTGTTGAAGAAGCTTGACACAGATAAAGATGCTGTTGGTTTTGGCTTTTAGTATCTGTAAATTAAAATATAGCCGTGGGACAGAGCTCAGGGATGGACACTGGTCACACAAATAAGCCAGCCTGTACTCATGACTCACCTGATCTCTTACTCCCTGAGAGTCAAGAAAAGGCTAAATGCTACCACACATGTGCTAACAAGTCTTTTCCAAACACTCCCAGATTGGCGCAACAAAAGCATTCCTCTTATGCTGGAGAGAAAACAAAACCAACAAAAACACACACAAAAGAAACAAACCACAAAGGCTGTGGGGTGGGGAGAAGGTTCATTAATTAACAGTGACTACCCATTAGACTTCCTGGGACTTTTCCTGAAGGTCCCTATAGAAGACAAGGGATGTAGCTACCCCAGGGTTTTCAAGGCAGCATCAAGATCTGAACAGATTCTCCAAATTACTTTTTCCAGAGACAGAAGTACAACTAATACAAATTCTGATTTTTTTTTTTTTTTTTAATACAACATGCAATACATTTTTGCTAACCAAAGAACACCTTTTTTTTCTTTCCTGTCCTACAGAAGTCTATGAGGTTCCTGAAGAAGAGGTAAGGCCTTTCTGTAGTTCATGACTCACACCGCCCTCAGGCAGGGCACAAATGTGATTGTTAAAAAATGTCTTTCAAAGGGGAAGAATGGGAACAAATCTCTGTCTGCACTGAAAAACTTTCTAACTCTTCCTTCACAGAAAAGCTAGCAAAGCAATTCAGAGATCTGCAGAACAGAGTAAATAGGAAGGGACAGAAGTTTACCAGTCCTGTGTGATAGTGATCCAGTCTGGGAAGTAGCAGCCTAAGGGAATGCTTTTCAGAAAAAGAACTGCGGCAAAGGAACAATGACAGTTCTGACACAGTAATTTTCTTCCCACTTGCTGGTATTGACATGACATATGGCCAAAGCAGTGGGCTCAGGGCTTCACAGATTTACTGGTGGTAAATTCTTGTTTCCCCCATCCTAGTGCAGATTACCAGGCAGAGCTGTACTAGAAATTTATACCACAGTGCAAAAATAAGATATTGCTGTGATAACATAAATGGGATTATTCAAATGAATTAAATCAAAAAGTGACATAATAATTGAGTGCATTTTCTCTTACAGGAAAAAACATCACCACCACCAGTAACCAGGTAACCCATTGCTTTGAATGTTTGTGCATTATTTAAAAGTTGTCAGAAAATGTCTTCTCCTCTAGATACGAAGTGATAGTTGTCTCTCTAGAAGATATGTATATAGTAACTTCTCTCTTTATATTATCTACAGAAAGATTGTCATCCATTTCTATGTTAATTTCAAGAACCCAAACATAATGCATAATAAAAAGAAATACCTTTTAAGGAAGGGTACTTTTTAGAATTTTGAGGGCATAAGGGAAGAGAAAGAGAGGCTGCCTTTTTATTTACTGTTGTTAAACATAATTTTCCTCTCTTAATTGATGTTTTACTACTAGGTTCACTAAGCCACTTCCAGCTATGCCTGCTCAGAATATGGAGCACTCCCACGTGCACAGCATGACCAGAGAGTCACCTAAGCTGGACGCTTCCAGGTAAGTCACAGCAGCTAATATCAACAGGAAATACTAGCAGAGACAAAATTTTCGCCCCTCTGTTGTGTAGCCTTCAGAAAATAAGCAACTGTCATGAGACAGAAATAGCTAGGGATGTTGGAAGAAGGTAAAAATCAACATTCTCGTATCCCTGCAAACTTCTGTACCCAAGCCAGTCTGCCAAATGTGTACTGTTTTCTTGGATACCCCTTTAGGGATCCAGTGCAGGTGTAAAACATCTCTGCAAGCCAGTTTAAAGTCCTATTACCTATCTCTGCACCCTTGCAAATGAGATGATGTTTTTGCAGGAGATGGGGCACAGGGTTGCTTGTAAAGAAGGTGTAAGCAATAAATATATCATTTATATTCCAAGTCTCTGAAGGAAAAGAGGCAAAGGAAACTTGAGTATGCAGCCTATTTTACTCCTCTATCACCAGAAATAGGAAGCTGCTTCATAACCACTGTCTCATCTCTAGAACACTGCTCTACAAAATAGGCCATATGCCCCAGGAAGAGCAGGTGGCTTCCACAGTGCTGTGTGGCACCACTGCCATGGTCCATAGCTGCTATTAAATCCACTTACTGCAGACCTCCTCTTCCTCTCTGCGTCTTGAAACACATCTCTGAGCCAAGCAATTAACTAAGTAAATCCTTCTCAATTTACTGTTTGTATTTTTCAGAAATATTTTACCTCTTCCCAGAAATCGTCTTCATCAAAAAGCAGTGAGTAATTAATGTGCTACTGTAAAAGAATGTATTATATTTAGGCTGTTGTGGGTTTTAT